AATCACCTGGGGGGGGGCAGCAGAACAGATCATGTGACCCCAGTGATCAGTTTCTGATTGGCAGGTCTGGGGCAGGGCCCGGGGACCAGCATTTCCACTAGGTTCCCAGGTGATGCATGTGGCTGGTCCCCAGCCCTGCACTCTGAGAACCCTCACTGTGGAGTGTTCCCCCTTGTAGGAAGGAGGCAGGTCCAAGAGGGAATGGTGGGCACTGTGAGGGACTCGCCTGGGGGCTTCCCACACTGGACAGAGGGTAGGCCCATCTTGTGACCTGTTGCTCACAGAGCAGAGCTCCAGCAGGCCCGGCCCCTGGAAGGCTCCTTCAGCCCCATCTCCTTCAAGCCGGGCCTCCACCAGGCCGACATCAAACTGACTGTGTGGAAAAGGCTCTTCCGGAAAGTTCTACCAGGTGAGGCCCTTGTCTGTCCTCCCTCGGGACTTCCACCAGGGCTGGCAGCAGTGCACTGACTGCAGCTGAGAGCACCTGTGCTCCAGAGAGCTGAGGGACAGTCTGGTGGGGCAGTGGTGAGCGGGAGCCCAGCTGGCCCGGACTCCGGGTTCAGGGCCCTCCTGAAGAAGAAGGGCTGCTGACCCCACTTGGCTGGGCTGCGGAACGGACGTGGAGGGTGGGGGTGTTAAGGAGTGGTGGCTGTTTCTGACAAACAGCTTAGAGTCACTTAATGAATCCTTTTATAAGAGCAGGCTCTTGTGTAGGGAAGCTCAGTCAGACCGATTTTATCCTTTCAAAGGCAAAGACAGGGCTTATGTAAAGGAGAGAAAACTTGCCGTGGACAGCAGGTGTGGTTGCACACTTGGGGGAAAGCTGATTAGCAGGTCATTAGCAAAAAGATGGGCTGGTGGGGGCTCCTCCTGGGGCCCACTGAGGAGGAGGCCACCACCTCCTGGTGCTTGCTCCAAGCCTTCCAGGCCCTTCCCACAGCTCCTCTCCCTCACCAGACTCCCTGGCTCCCAGAGGCCATCTGGGATAGGCGCGACAGGCGAGCGCATCAGCCCCCTCTGGGCCGAGATCACTGCACAGCCTGGGGCGGGCTCAGCTGCTGTCTGGGGAGCTCAGCACCTGCCTGGCCTTCCTTGTGGCTCAACCTCAGGCCTTCTCTGGTCTCCCTCCAGCCCCGGAGCCGCTCAAGCTGGACCCTGCCACCGCCCACCCGCTCCTGGAGCTCTCCAAGGGTAACACCGTGGTGCAGTGTGGGCTCCTGGCCCAGCGGCGCGCCAGCCAGCCTGAGCGCTTTGACTACAGCACCTGCGTCCTGGCCAGCCGGGGCTTCTCCTGTGGCCGCCACTATTGGGAGGTGGTGGTGGGCAGCAAGAGCGACTGGCGTCTGGGGGTCATCAAGGGCACAGCCAGCCGCAAGGGCAAGCTGATCAAGTCCCCCGAGCACGGTGTGTGGCTGATAGGCCTGAAGGAGGGCCGGCTGTACGAGGCCTTCGGCTGCCCGCGCGTGCCCCTGCCCGTGGCCAGCCAGCCCCACCGCGTCGGGGTCTACCTGCACTACGAGCAGGGGGAGCTCACCTTCTTCGACGCCGACCGCCCGGAGGACCTGCGGCCGCTCTACACCTTCCAGGCCGACTTCCAGGGCAAGCTCTACCCCATCCTGGACCTGCGCTGGCACGAGCGGGGCAGCAACTCCCTCCCCTTGGTGCTGCCCCCACCCAGCGGGCCTGGCCACCTCGCTCCGCAGCGGCCCCCCAAGACGCAGGGCCGCCCTGCTGCTCCCTGCCCACAGGCCCATCTCGCTGGGCCCTGAGACTGGGTTCCCGCGGTGACCCCCTCGCTTCCTGGAAGATCTTCACGCCTGCATGAAGGTAGAGGGGTCGTGGCCCTGTCATCCAGAGTTATCAAGGCCAGCCTGGGAGTCCATGAGTCCCACTGAGCAGCTGTCCCTCCGGTACTCCTCCAGCAGAGGGCGGAAGCGCTTCATCATCTGGGGGAACTTAAAGCATCTATTAATAAATTCTTCTCACTCTCTTTAAATGGGCTGTATTGGTCGTGCATATTGCCAAGTGCGCAAGTCTTTTTCTTTTTTGTGTTTTGTGGGTGCTGTACATTTAACCCAGGGTGATTTACCACTGAGCTACATCCTCAGCCCTTTTTATATTTTTAAGAGAGGGTCAGGTTGTTGAAGATGTCCTCAGAACTTTCATTCCTCCTGTCTCAGCCTCTCTAGTTGCTGGAATCATGCCTAGCCACGTGCTTTTTTTTTTTTTTTTTAAAGCAATTCACCTGCAGCCCTGCCTGGTTTGAGTCCACAGGATGTTCCATTCCTCAGCAAACAGCCTTTTATCTGCAGGAGAAATGCAGGCCCAAAATGCCAAAAAAAAAGGAACTTAAGTGACTCCAAAGTGGGGAGACTTTTGTGACACACAGACCAGATCCCAGAACTCGGGGAGATAAGGGTAATCTCCCCTTACCATAGTCTGTGAACAGATTCCAATTAGAACTGGTCAGCATGGGCCCAAGAGACCTAGTTATCCAGGCACAGTGGGCACTTGAACAAGACACGCCCCCTGATGTCTTTGGGCTGTCAGAAGTCGACAGGTGGGCCTGGTCATGACTCTGGAAACTTCCTGAGACCCCTGATAAACGAGGACAGGTGGGGTGTACCATCTTTCTCCAGAGAGGACCTACTCTTCTTGAGAATGTCCCCCTTTCCCATCCACTCTAACAAACTTGTGCCTGTTACTCAAAGCTACGTGTCTGAAATCCTTCTGGTAGGATTGCAAGAACTGGGATGAAGAGTGACCTCTGCGGCTGCCTCAGCTGCGTGGCCGACCTCTGCTCAATAACAACCTGAACCTGGAGGGTCCACATCCTAGCTCTGGGGTCACGGTGGGTCCCACTGGAAAGAATATCAGGTTCTCTGAGACACAGCTACCTGGGGCTGCCAGGGCCTTCTCGGCCATGATGTGGAAAATGCCCATTGAAAATGAAGCCATTGAGTACACATAGAGGAAAATAGAACAATTAACACAGACGTGTAAGCAAACACATTTGATCAGATTTTAATTTGAAAGCTTGTTGGTAACATTTGTGTCCCTAGATCTAGCCATGCGTGAAATAAATTATCCTCATCTCTGGGAATTCCTATTTGTATGAGCAAAAAAATCATCCTCCCCTTTTTGTTTGCTTTAATTGGCTACAGTTCTGTCCCTTGCAGCCAAAGCAGTCTTGACCAAAGGGGAGGTCCCATCGATACTGAGCAAGAGACCCTAGGCCTCATCCTTTGGGACGACTGACAGGGAGCTTTCTCTTCCACATGCAGCAGTAGGCAAGCATCTGCAGAAGCTGCCAACGAGCTTTGGCTCCTTTCAACTTCCATGCCCTCCGCTGCCCACTCTTCTGCAGTAGGGGATTTGCAATTAGTTGTTCGATATCGGATCCGTTTGTGCTCTTTCATATTGTTATCATGTGCTTCCCCCCAGTCCTAGGGATCGACCCCTCAGGGGTGCTGTACCACTGAGCTGCATCCCAAACTCCGTTTTAGACAGTTTCACTAAGTGGCTGAGGCTTTCCTCAAACTTGTGATCCTCCGCGTTAGGTCCTTAGGCCAAAGTAACTCCATTTGAAAATCAGCACCTGCCCACCCAGGCATGACCTTCCCAGTAGGTCCACCCCTAAAGAGTCCCTAACTCCTGGGTGATAAATCCAGCCTAAGATTGGGAGCCAACTCCACACAAAGGCATGAAAAGTTAATTTTGGCTTTAATATAAATTACTGCGATTTCTAAACTTGCTTGGAATGCCTGCCCTACCTTGAACTCACCCATGCCTTGGCTTTCCCTGACCAGATAACAGCCCTCTCTGCAACTCTAGTGATGCCTCATAAATTCTGATGTTGGGATCTAAATTTACTCCCTAAGTGCTGGACCATTAACCTACAACCTGCCTTTGTGTTATGCTTGTCAAAATCCTGTTATCTGTAAGTTCTCAAGACATCCTCCCCATTTTTTGCAACTTTCTGTGCTATAAAGCTGTGCTCCTAAAGAGCTGGGGTGCTGTCTTCTATCCCGCCGTTTTCAGGAGAGAGGGTCGGAATTACAAGCTTGCTTTAATTTATTTCAATTGGTTGGTGGTCTTTTCTTTGCAGCGTGGTTTAACACTGGGACCACAACAAAGACGCCAAGTGACAATCACAGGACCTGGGGGGTTATTTTTTAACTACTACATCATAGGTGACTGTGTAGTTAATTTTTTCCCCCCAGCAGGCTGCTGCGCCTGGCAGAAAGGCAGCCTAGGGATATTGCCCGTCAATCCACCTTTGCTTGAACTCGGAACCGTGTCTGGAGGGAGTTCTGCGAGCGCTGCCTAGCACTCCGCGGCCTGAGCCCCAGGCACCGGGAGCCCAGGCGCACACCCCACACCCCGTGGGTAGGTCTTGACTGCAGCAAGGCCCTGGTCTAGAAGGCGGGGAGGCTGGGAAACAATCACCCCCGGGAGAAAAGGAGAGCAACGGCCCCAGGGAACTACCCCTATCTTCAACTGTGCCCTATTGCTCTACACGAGCCCGCCACAGCAACACCAGGCCCTGCTAACCCCACAAAACCCGGAGTCTTGATGTCGCAGTCGCTCCATTTTGCTTTAAAAACCTACTCCTCCGTTTCTTGGGACCCTTTGGGGTCGGCCTGCATTTCTGTTCCCCGTCGCATCCTCTCGGCTGGGTCGGTGTGGAGACAGAGATGCCCTGGGGTGAGCGGGGCGGCCCGACAGCAAACCGCGAGCGGTGACCAAGACAGCGGCCTGGGCACGGCCTGGCACAGTAGGACCAGGCACGGGGGTGACGGGGCGGTGCCTTGGGAAGACCTCTGTAGTTTGCGGGGAGCTCCGGCGGGCTAACGCCCCCGAGGACATCGGGCCGCAAGTCCCCTCCCTTCCCTTTCGGTTTTCTTCCCCTCCCTCTGTGCCGGGGAGGGGCGCGCGCGACCGCGGGGCTAAGGCAGCGCGTGCTCTTTGACCCCGGAAGTGCTGGCGGCGGGCGCTAAGCCGGCCGCGCGTTGCGACAGAGCCGTAAAGGCACGCGGGGGCGACAGCATGGCGCTGTACGCTGCCGCCGCGGCCGTGCTGGCGGGCGTGGAGAACCGCCAGGGCTCCATTAAAGCGCTGGTGTACGGGAGCAACTTCCAGGTAGCGACGCTGGGCGCGGGGGGGGTGGGCGCCCCGTCCGGGGCCGGGGCGCGGGCCGGGACCGGGCGGCTGGGCGCGGCGCGGCACCCCTTCGCCAGCCCAGCGCGCCCCGCCGCCCGCAGAACGTGAAGCCGCTGTACGCGCTGGTGTGCGAGACGCAGCGCTACGCCGCCGTGCTGGACGCTGTCATCGCCCGCGCCGGCCTCCTCCGCGCCGAGAAGAAGCTGCGGCCGCACCTGGCCCGGGTGAGCGGGGGAGGGTGCCGTCCCTGGGAGCCGAGGACGCAGGGCGCCGGGGTCGTTCGCACGGGGGGCAGGGCAGCCGCGACCCCTGAGCCGCGCCTCCCGGGGCCCGGAAGGCAGGGCGCCGGTTCCAGCCCTCTGTCTGCCCCCCAGGGTCTTGTGTAGTGAGGGACGAGGGAGCCGCCGTGACCTAAAGCGGGCTGGACGGCGGCCTCCTTTTAGCCTCCAGTCGTGTGAATTTCTGAGGCGAGTCGGGCTCAATGCTGGGTCTTGGTCTTCCCTCCCCAGGTGCTAGTGTATGAGTTGTTGCTGGGAAAGGGCTTTCGAGGGGCCGGGGGCCGCTGGAAGCCCCTGCTGAGCCGGCACCAGGCGAGGCTGAAGGCCGAGCTGGCGAGGCTCAAGGTTCGCCAGGGCGTGAGCCGGAACGAGGACTTGCTGGAGGTGGGGTCGAGGCCCGGCCCAGGTGAGCTGGCGGCAAGGGGGCGCGGAGGGCAGTACTGGCAGGCCGCCGAGGAGAGGCCTGTGTCCCTGCTCGCTCACCGCTGTTGCTCTCTAGTCTCCCAGGTGCCTCGATTTGTGCGAGTGAACACTCTCAAGACCTGCTGTGGCGACGCCATTGATTATTTCAAGAGACAGGGTTTCTCCTACCAGGGCCAGGCTTCCAGGTGGGAGCTCAGCGTTCTGTCTGGCTGCCCTCATCCAGGAGCAGTGTCTGGGGCCACAGAGAAGCAGGAGTCTGGGAAGAGAGGTGCTGGGTGGCAGTGACTACTCTTCTTGGGTTTTCCTATTTCTAGTAGTTTCTCCTGTCTCTTTTCAAGGGCTGATGGCCAGCCCCACCCCACTGATGCTCCCAGGACTTTTGTTCTACCTTTTTTTCACACGCTGGGGATGGAACCCAGACCTCAGACATGCTAGGCGGTTACTCTTCCACTGAGCTGCGTCCCCAGCACTTAATAGCATTTAAAATATTGGCTGTGATAAACAGTGCAAGTGGAGCCTGGCACGGAGGAATTTAGGAGATGAGTTAATGATCCACATTCCCTGCAGCCTGGAGGACTTGAGGGCCCTTAAGGGGAAGCACTTTCTTCTGGACCCCTTGTTGCCGGAGCTGCTTGTGTTTCCTGCCCAAACAGATCTGCATGAACACCCTCTGTACCTTGCAGGTCACCTCATCTTGCAGGACAAGGTAGGGAGTGGGTGAGGGAAGGATGTGGGAGGCCAGCCCCAGCTCCATATTTACCCAGCTGTTGTGCTCCGCTGTCAGGCCAGCTGCCTCCCAGCCACCCTGCTGGCACCGCCACCAGGTTCTCACGTCATTGACGCATGTGCTGCCCCAGGCAACAAGACCAGTCACTTGGCAGCTCTTCTCAAGAACCAGGGGTGAGTGCCAAGGTCAGATGGGGTCTGGTCTGATCCTGCACTTTGTAGGAATAAAGAAATCTTTATTCAAATGGCTGGGCTGGTGTTGTGGCTCAGTGGTGGTGTGCTTGCCTAGCAAGCATGAGGCCCTGGGTTCGATCCTCAACACCACATAAGAACAAAGGTATTGTGTCCACCTACAACTAAAAAATAAATATTAAAAAAAAAAAAAAAACTATATTGAAGGCTGAGAGGACAGACTTGAGGCGGTTCAGTTTCCCCAGGCAAAGCTTTCCAGGGGTTGCAGGTGTGAGATAAGGTTCCTAAGCCTGTTATCTCAGAGACCCCCTAAGACACTTAGGTATTCTTTTTTCTGTGTCCTGACTTGACGTGCGTGGTGCTGTTGGGTGTGTCAGAGCTCTGGCTCTCCCTCAGATGCTCCATGAATTCCCAGATCACCCCCTTCTGCCCTCTTCCCTAGAAAGATCTTTGCCTTTGACCTGGATGCCAAGCGGCTGGCATCAATGGCCACTCTGCTGGCCCGGGCTGGTGTGTCGTGCTGTGAGTTAGCTGAGATCGACTTCCTGACCGTGTCGCCCACGGACCAGCGTTATGATCGCGTCCAGTACATCCTGCTGGATCCTTCTTGTAGTGGCTCTGGTGAGATGGGGAGAGAGTGGCTGTGGGATACCCCACCCCAGAGCTAAAGCACACCAGTTTGTTTGGGTCTTGGTTCTGACTCAATAATGACCTTAGGCCTGCAGGCAAAATGTTCTCATTTATCAAGTAGGATCTCAGCACAGGATGCAGCAGCCTGGGAAACTGATCAAAACGGTCTCCTCCCCAGGGATGCTGAGCAGGCCACTGGAGGAGCAGGGGTCAGGTACACCTAGCCAGGAGCGTTTGCGTGCCCTGGCGGGCTTCCAGCAGCGGGCACTGTGCCATGCACTCTCGTTCCCCTTCCTGCGACGCTTGGTCTACTCAACATGCTCCCTTTGCCAGGAAGAGAATGAAGATGTGGTCCGAGACGCCCTGCAGCAGAACCCAGGGTTCAGGTGACGGCCTCCCCAGGGCATGGAAGGGTTGCCAAGTGGCCCCTGGAGCCTGATCCCTCCTCTTTCCTTGCAGGCTAGCTCCTGTCCTGCCCTCCTGGCCCCACCGGGGTCTCAGCACCTTCCCAGGTGCTGAGCACTGCCTCCGAGCCTCCCCTGAGACCACACTTACTGGTGGCTTCTTCGTTGCTGTGTTTGAACGGGCAGAGGTGCCAAGGTGAGGGAGCCAGGGGTGGCCTGCTTGGGATGTATGGGGTGACTCGGGCACACCTACCTGACCGTCCTAACCTTCCAGCTCAGCCTCCCAGGCAGAAGCTCTGGCACCAGAACTTGCACCCGGCCCAGCCCCAAAGAGAAAGAGGAGACGGCAAAAGGCCACTGCGCAGGCTGCAGGTGCAGTCGTTGAGGCCACCTGTGGGAAGTGAGGCTGCCTGTAGGCTCCACAGGACTGCTGTTAGTGCCAGAGGCAGGAAGGACAGAGTGGAGGGTCCTAGTTGGTCCCTTGGGTCCCTCCCTGGGGGCTGCCTACATAAATAAAAGGCAGAACACAGGCGTCTGATAGGTCACAGTTTTTTATTCGTAATGACATAAGCAAGGAGAAAAATCTCACATTCATACTAAAAAGTCCAACTAGACAACAGGAATTACACCTTTATTTGTAATGGAAAGTCCAGCCTCCTGTTCTGTCCAGTGCAGAACATGTACACATATGCACTCACACCCAGGCTGGAGCAGGACCCCTCTTCAAGGGGTTCCTGGCCTGCTGTGGAGCTCAGGTGAACTAGCTCAGACTAAAACTAAGAGGCTCCGCCTCACACCAGGTACAGGCAGAGGCTCCATCCCTAGACCTGTGCCCCACCCCCACCCCTCCAGTCCTAACAGGTATTTGGGACTTGAGGTCCTGGCTCCTTCCTCAGCCCCCACACAGCTAGGGCAGCAAGTGCCCAGCTCTCCTTGGGGTGGAGGCAGTCCCCTGCCACAAGACATTCAGCCTCAGTCACAAAGGGGGAGGGGACTAACTACAGCTACATCACATTATTTATAAAATAAGAATTACACTTATATAACATGTCCAGAAGGAGCTCCAGCCCCTCAGGAAAGCTGCCTGGGACAGCATTTGAGCTCCTCCTTCACACAGGCATAACCTAACTATGCAGCTAATTCTAATCAACAGCATTTATACTTAACCACCTCAATGAACCAAGCTTGAAGGAATTTAAAAGGCAATTTAGCTTAAATACAAAAATAAATTTTTTATTTTGTTAAAAAATGTTTAAATATTTTCTTTTAATTTAGACACACGCATTCATACTTCTTCCAAAGAGGATGGGCGTGGCAGCAAGGCTCTAGGGCCTGGGGAGTGTGGTTTGGGAGCCAGGGGAGAAGGGGAGGGAAGGGTTGGCAGGGGTCCTATTTAGGAAAGAACTAGGGTCTGACTTCAAGGAAGGTTCATTGGTGTACACTGGACATACTGGGAATTGCCTTGCCTAGTGAGGTCAGGAGGTGGGAGAGGAATGTTGGAAGGAGAGGGTCTTTGCTTCCCTAAGGCCCCATCCCTTGGGCTGCCAGCCCTTAAAGTCTAACCACCACTGGAAAACCCAGGAGCCAGCACTGTGGCTCTCAAGTGGTGCCACTTTGATTGGCCAGGCCAGGAGGCTTGAGACAGTTAGGTCCGGCACTACCAACATGCCGCCACACATACAATTCAATTCTTCCTCCAAACTCGATTCAAAGAGCAACAGACATGGGCTTCAGACAGTGACACAGGACAAGGCATGGGGTGGACAATCCCGGAGGCAGAGGGTGGCCAGTGAGGCCAGCAGGGGGGAGGAGGCAGCAGAAAGCAGCTGTGGGTATCCTGCCTGCTCCGAGAGCTTCTCCTGCAGCAAGGGTCTTGCGCTGGCTCTGCCAGACTAACAGTCTTGAGCCACCAAGCTTTTAGGGGCCAAACTGGCAGAGGGCAGGAGACGAGACTGGACTCAGACCTGGCAGGGAGAAAGGGGGCAGTGGGAGAAACACCCACTGGGGTCTCCAAGGCAAAGCTAGATTCAATGTCATTTAAACAGGATTCCTGCAGGGATCCAGTGAGGGACAAAGCAGCAAGTAATGGGGAAATAAGAGTCCCCAAAAGGGACCAGAGGAAGAGAACCACTTCTTATAGCCTAGCCAAGCAGGTAAAGCTTAGGGATAATCCACTTTCCCCAATCCCATGAAACGCAACAGAGATTCAAGTGGGTGCATCGCACACCCTCTGGCAAGGATGGTCCTGGGGGTGGGGGAGGTGGGAAGGGAAGCCATCTGACTTAAGTGACACAATAGACAAGCCGGGGAAGAGAGCGGACAGTATGTACAGATGTTTCTTTAGTTCTCCAGCCTCACCAGTGCAACTGTTCAAGTACAGGTTTCGGGCTTTAGCCCTGCCCTCGCCTGCCCCCTCCCTGAGGTGCCAACTCTCTCCAGAAGGGAAAGGGCCCCAGGGCTGCCACCACCTCCCTTGGTGGCTGAAGCCAGAGATCTAGGATACTTCTGTTTTACGGAACTCGAAGGGTCAGAGGCTCTTCCTAGCAGGTGCTGAGGTCCAGATTTGGGCAAGGGCTGGGAATGGGGATAGGACAGAGGCTACTTCTTGCGGTTGTGCTGCCGTCGGGCCTGTAGTCGCTGTCGAGCCCCTGGGGTCTTGGATCCGGCACCAATGGAAAACGAAGGGGCTGCTGATCCTGGAAAGATTCGACAAGACCTCATCAGGTAGCTGCTCCCAGAGCACATGGTTTTGAGGCATCAGCTCTAAGTCAACAAGATGGTGGGGACTTGAACAGGGTCCTCAGATGCCACAGCAGCCCCATGAAGAGGCTATTAAAATGCAAAACCTCCAAAAGTCCCATAGGGAGGCCCACAAATCCATTTTTACTTGACTTCCCCAAGTGTCCTGGGACTGTCTTCTCAACTCTGCTATCCAAGTCCACGCTGGGTGGTGCTGGACCCCCAGGAGCTGTCTCCACAGGGGCTTGGAGAGCCAGGAACCTTGCCATCCACCCCAATTCCTCCTCACAGAGAAGAAAAGCAGATGACACTGGCAGTGGAGAGATGGCTACTTACCGAAAGGCCCAACTCCAACAAAGCCCTGGGTGGGTGTTGAGGAAGCCCCAAAGGAGAGGCTGCTGCCCACTGTGCCCACTCCAGCAGTCGGGGTGCTCTGCCCAAAGGTGGGTGTGGAGGTGCCTAGAACAGACAGCAGAGGACTGTAGAGACTGAGCCAGGGTCAGAGGAAAGAAAACAGAGGGCAGAGAAACTAGGCAGAGGGTCTGCTCTTTGCAGGGGTGCTTCCCACAGGACCTGCCAGCCCTGGTTCACACCACCATAGCCAACTGCAGCGGTCACACCTGGAGCTCAGGTGAGCCAGCAGGCCCTCAGTGCCCCACTTTCTGTGCACACAGCCCAGGCATGCCATGCCTCTTCTGTTCTGCCAACCTGCCCTCTGACAGCCTGACTCACCTCACTCCAGCGCACCACCCTGTTGGACCATCTGATCTTCCCAGGTGCTCTGGAACTCCCTCTGCAGGGCCCTGATCGGCCCAGCGTGGCTGCCCTGCCCACTCTTCCTCCCCCTGCCAGAGAAAGCTGCCTCTCTGGTCAGGCTGGAGGGGGGCAGGACCTTCCCTGCTCTCCAGAAGCTGTGTCCAGACCACTTCTCTTCCATGCTCCTTCAATATCATCAGTCTTGCTCCTGAACATCTATCAACTGCCAGATGTCCTCTTTTATTCAGTGGGCCCTTGGCTCACTGTTGCCCTCTCCATCACAATCCGTGGTGACTTTGCCAGCTGTCAGGATGATTCAGGATTCCTCAGCAACCCAATGACCTCCGCCACCCACCCCTACATTCACTTGTCAACTGCTCCAGCTCCAACAAGTCACTGCAGGCCTCACCTGCTTCTTCCAGCTCAGGGTCTCCACAACAACCTTCCACCTTCTCCTGCTAGAGACCTGAAGTCCACTGCCCTCCTGCTGCATTCCCCCATAGGCTGGAGATCAGCAGTACCTGCCTGTTTTAACCTCAACAGCCAAGAGCTGCTGGAAAAGATACAGTGCTGACTTGAAGTTCAGGCTTCTCTTCTGCAGTACTGGCCTGAACCCATGCCTCATGCATGCTGGGCAGTGCTCTCCCACTGAGCCACATCCAGCCCTTTTTGTATTCGCCCAGGCCGGACTCCAATCTCTGACCCTCCTCCTGCCTAGTCACTAGGATTACAGTTGACCACCATGCCTGGTATTTCTCTATTTAGTCAAGGAAACAGAAGCTCTGAGGACAAAAATTCACCTTCCAGATGGCAAATAAGACCACTTCATTCTGCTGCAAATTCTACAATTCCCTTGATACTTAAAATCCAATCACTGGAGCCCGAGGCTCACCTCTGCCTGTCTCAGAACCTCTCTCACACCATCTTCCATCTGTAGCCAAGCTCGCCTCCCTCTGCCCCCGGGCCCTAGCACCAGCCAGGCTCATGAGCTCCCCACCCACATGCCAGTCCTTCTGACACAGACGTCCCTCAGCAGAAATGGACTGCTCAGAAAGGCTTTCCATGACCCCTGATAGGCACTAGCGAACACTTAGTGCCACCTGCAATTCACTCGTCTTTACCAACAAGTTCCTTTACCCAGCATCAGGCCTAGCAGACCACACCCACTCCTGATCTTACCTCCAAACACAGGTTTGCTCTCAGGTGTGCCAGCCACATTGAAGGCAAAGGGTGTGCTCTGGCTGGGTGTACCCAGGGCATTCTGACTTAAGCCCCCACCAAAGGGGGTGGCGGTTCCTGTGGTCCCACTCTGTCCAGCTCCAAAACTGAAGGCCCCAGAGGTAGAGCTGGGGCCCGGGGCAGCCACACTGAGCCCGAAGCCCCCACTGGCAGCTGGGGCTGCAGATCCCCCAAATGTGAAAGGGGACGGAGTTGAGCTGCCAAACACTGAGCCACTGGTCCCACTGGGGGTGGTCTGGGTGGTAGCTCCAAAGCCAGAGGTGGTGGCTGCACCGAAGGAGAAAACAGGCGTCGTGCCTCCAAAGGCTGGCTGTGTGCTGGCAGGGGCACCGAAGGCTGAGGCGGTGGTCTTCAAGCCAAAAGCTGACTGTGTTGAGCTGCCAAAGGCAGGCTGGGCCGTCGCCGGTGCTGCAGACGGGGCAGGGGCTGCAGAGTTCCCAAAAGTGAATGAGCTGCCAAAGCTTGGAGCAAGGGCTGGCTTGGAGGACCCCTGCTGCTGCCCATCAGCAGCCCCGAATGTGGGCTGGGGGGTGGCCACTGGATATGCTGGGAGGGAGGGCTTGGCACTGGAGCCAAAGGGAATGCTGAACGCGGGGGTGGTGGTGTTGCTGAAAGTCAGGGTGGGCTGGCTGCTGGTGGTGCAGGCTGAGGTGGCAAGGGAACTGCCAAAGCCACTGAAGCCAGCAGTGCTGTTGCTGTTGCTGCTGCTACTGGTGGTGGCCACCTCAACAGCACCGGGCAAGGACTGGCCAAAGGTGGTGGCTGCTGTGGACGTTGGTGTGGCAGTGGATTTGCCAAACTGGAATACAGAGCCCACGGCTGGGGTGAAGCTGGCGGCAGAGGCAGGGGGTGCTCCAAAGGGGAAGGGCTGAGAGGCGGGGGTCACGCTGCCAGTTGTGCTGCCACCAGCGCTGGCCACGCTGCTGACCCCAAAGCAAAAAGCAGGTTTGGAAGCAGAGTCTGTGGATGTGCTGGCAGTGGTGGTTGGAGCCATGGCCGAGGTGGCAGTGGCCAGGCCAGCAAAGAGAGGGGCAGCTGGGGCTGCAGCAGCCGTTGTTGGCTTGAAGGAAAAGGGAGCAGGCAAGGGCACAGATGCAGGTGGCCCCAGGTCACCAAAGATGGGCTTAAAAGTTGGGGTGGCAGTACTGGTGGTCATGGGCTGGGTGGAGCTAGAAACAGCTGCAGCTGTGACGGATGTGACAGAGGGGCCTTCGCTCAAGCTTTTAGGTGGTGTCATGAAAATGGGCTTGAACATGGGAGAAGCAGAAGACGTGGCTAGGGCAGCTGGGGTGGCTGGAGAAGCCGGGGCGGCCGGGGCAGCAGGGTCGGCAGGAGTGGCAGCGGCGGCAGGAGTGGCAGCGGCGGCAGGAGTGGCAGGGGCAGCCGGGGCAGCAGGTGCAGCCGGGGAAGGGGCAGAGGGCATGCTGCTCGACATGCCGAACAGCCCACTCTGCTTGGAGGTGGGGGAGGGGGTAGGCGGGCCTGGGGCTTTGGCAGATGTGTCGGTCTGAAGGGCTGGAGGTGACTTGGTGTCCACGACAGGTGCTGTGGAGGGGGCAGGGACCAGCCCCAAGAAAGTGGCTGTGGATTTTGAGTCTGAAGAGGTGCCTGGCAGGGGCCCTGGTGGTGGAGAGCCAAGGGAGGTCAGCAGGCTGGGTGTCTTCAGAGGTGACGGGCCTGTGGTGGTGGCCACTTCAGCAGATTCTGGGAAGAAAGTAAGAAACCCGAGTTCTCTAGTAGGACAGAACCAGCATGTCTGCGCCTCTGGTGCCTCCCTTGGTCAGCTGAGAGGTGTGACAAGTCTACGCCACAGCCTATGAAGCTCACTCAGAGGTTCTCCTGTTTCCATCCCCCAGACCACAAGACAGAAGGGAATAACCCAGGACCTAACTCGAGGTTATACGTGGAGGCGCCACGTCACCAGAGCACTGACCTAGACAGGTCTTGTCTAATGGAGATGCACCATGCTCACTCACCAGCTGCGAGGAGGAGACTCTCTGCCCCTGGCCCCGGGAGGCTGCACACTACACCTGGACTACTGTCTGAGGAAGTGCAGTAAGAGGTTGCACACTGGCAGTACCCCGAAGGCCTGGGCCTGTGACATTCAACTGACCCTGGAAACCCACGTGGAGGAACTTACCTTATTTGGGGCTGTGGTCTAGTAAGCCACACTGCAGATACCTCGCAGGGTGGTCCTCTCATTTACAGATGATGACAGCAAGGCTCAAAGCAGTCCTAAGACTGGGCTTCGAGTGGAGCCCGACCCATGCTGCCTTCCCAGTTTTACTCGAGGCAGCAGCAACTTTAGACTGACAGAGAAGCACGAGGCTGGGCTTCATCCCGAGGGCCAACACTGCACGGTGCTTACCTGGGAGGGACGGGTCTGGGGGACTCTGCATCTTCTTCAGGCTCTCTAACAACGGGTTGGTGCCCGTGGCTTGCGGGGAGGCTGCTGCGGAAGGGGTCCCCACAGCAGGCAGGGTGAAAGTGAAAGAAGGCTGAGTGGCGGGTGGGTTCTCACTGACGGAGTTTGGAGAAACATCTGAGGGAGAGACACAAGATTCAACCTTTGCTCCTTGCTGGAGAATTCTTTCAAGATGGCACAGGGAAGCTCCAGGGCTAGCAGCTTGATCTAGAAATTGTTCCCCTCAATAGTGCTCACTGGGGGCTGGGGCTGGGGCTGAGTGGTAGAATACTCGTCTACCATGTGGGAGGGAGGCACTGGGTTCGATTCTCCACACCATGTATAAATAAATGAATGACATCTAAAAAATATAAAAACAAAGCAGCAAAAACAAAAAACAAACAAACCAAAAAAAACCGGTGCTCACTGTGCTCCAGGATTTAATGAAAAGGTAGGTGGCTGGGGGTGGTGGCGCCTGCCTATAATCCCAAGTGGCTCAGGAGACTGAGGCAGGAGGATGGCGAGTTCAAAGCCAGATTCAGAAATTTAGCAAGGCCCTAAGCAATTCTGTGAGACCTTGTCCCTAAATAAAATACAGAAAGGTGGCTGGGGATGTGGCTCAGTGGCTAATCGTCCCTGAGTTCAAAGTGCCTCTGGGTTTAATCCCCATACCAAACAAAAACAAAAACAAAAACACCTAGCTGGACTTCTCAGAAGAACAACAAAGGAAAACAAGAAACTCTTTCTTAGGAAACCCTTTAGAAGAACAATAAAACCAAAACCAAAGGAAACGAACACATGGGGCCTTCGGATGTGCCACTGATGTGCACCCCTTACCAGTCTTGTCCTCCAAGACCTTGTTGAACCACTGGAGTGAAGCTTTCTTCTCCAGGTCAAGGTCCTCAGCAGTGACAGAATAACCAAGCTGAGGCGGTGGAGGCTGTCAACGAGGAATGGAGAGGCTGCGCCATCGTACAGTGGCAGAAGCTCACTTGCACCAGCCCTCCCAAGATGCAAGAGGGCCAACGTGGGTGACTAGACATACCAAGGTCAGTTGGTCCCCTCGCCTGGAGGGCAGCAGCGGGATCTTCCGTTTCCGCTGTCCAGAGCTGCCAGGTGTAGACGGGGAAGCCCACGAGTTCGGCTGATTCCGAGAGGTTGTGTCTGCAACTAAAGACAGGAAGAGGGCCTGCTGGCTTCCTTCCCTCTCCCAGCAGGGCAGAGCGCTTTTCTATCCACTTGGCTTTTAACACTGAGTTGTCACTGTGTGTCTAAAAAGATGCTATCTTCCATGGCTGGGGCTCCCAGATGGTATCTGTAAGATTATTTCTAATAGTCGAGAGGAAATAGTTAATTGCTCCAAATGCAGCATCCAATGCTTACTGGGTATACTGGGTACAGCTGCCTACCCAGTGACCGTGTTACATGGGACTTGTCTGTATGACCCTCTCCTTTAACTGTGAAGCCAGGCTGCCCTAGCTAGACAGGGCAAAGCTCCGCCAGGTGTTCTCAGCGGTACTCCTTCAGCCATCCCTCCACCCACCGCCCCTGCTTGCTCATCCACTCACCCTTTTCTCCCTGGGACTCCTTGTCGGCCACCAGTGGAGTAGAGGAACTGGAATGCTGACATGGCTCCTCTTCTCTGTGGGGTTTTGAAAGGTGGAATTCAGTTTGATAATGTTCTACACCCTTCTAACTGCCAAGGAGCCTAGGCCACATCATTCTTAACCATGCTAAAGATCTTAGTATGTCAACATAAAAAAGGTCAAAAGAGAATTCCTACAGAAACAAAGATCCCAGAGAAGCCTGTCTTAAACCAACCACAACCCCACGCAGTCTGCCGAGCCTAGATCTCCAAGGAGCAGAGCTGCAGTTGGCTGCATACCCAGAACCCTCTCAGCACTCCTGTTGAGTGGCTGCTGAAGCAAGAGGCAGAGCAGGGCCTGTGCAGCCAGTGTGCGAGGCCGCAGGAGGAGGGCCATGCTGGTGGGCACCCGCATCACTGCCCTTCTCTGAGTCTTACGCTCTTGATCCACTGAGTCCGAGTCATGCAATGCCCGAGAGCCAGCTCCAACCCCTCCCTCCTCATCCCTGCCTGTCCACACAGAGCAAACGGTCACTGGAGGAGGTGATAATCACCTGGTTTTCTTGGCTGGCCTCTCCGGAGTCTGAGAGCGGGAGGAAGCTGGGCTAGAGAAGGGGGACGCAGGGGGACCACTCCTCTTCCACAGCTGAAATCAACCAGAATTACACAACTGAGCCCAGGGACAGTTGGGCACACAACCCTAGAGATAGATACTCTTGTGGTTGTGTTCATCACTGCATGTAAAGTCCCTTTTTAAGGAACTAAAAAATATTTCTTTGTGAAGACCCCTGAAAAGAAAGTCAATTGTCAGTTATGGTATTGTGGCAATTACAATTATGGAAGCAAAAAAGGAAAGAAAAGTCTAAACACAGAAGGAATGAATGCACCTTTTGCATATAAGAAGTAGGACTGAGGGGCTGGGATGTGGCTCACCGGTAGAGCACCTAGCACGTGCAAGGCCCTGGGTTCGATCCTCAGCACCACATAAAAATAAATAAAATAAAGGTATTGTGTCCAACTACAACTAAAAAATAAATATTAAAAAAATACTTAAAAAGTAGTAGTAGGATTGATGATATTCAGTAACAATACAGAGCTATATGCACAAGTCTACTCCAGACTATCTATGGAGGAGAAAAAAGTAAATTTAAACACACTTTTAGGAAGATAAGCCAGTAAACTAAATCTTGTTTTCATTAAGTTTAGTTTTAAACTTTTTTGTGATAAGGGAGATTGAACCCAGGGATGTTCTATCACTGAACTACATTCCCAGCCCCTTTATTTTTTATGTTGAGACAAGATTTGCTCAGTTACCCTGACTAGCCTCAAACTTACAATCCTCCTTGTCTCTGCCTCCCCATTCACCACACCTGGCTTTATTTTTCAAAACATGCTGTCATGACATTTGTGATTTTTGCTACACTTCTGGCATCTATGATTATGTGCAGATCATCCGTATCTGTCTTTTCTACCAGGAAAAGTCCCTGACAGCAAAGACAGTGGACACAGAGCGGACACTAGGCACATACTCTGGCCAGCGAGTCCACTGATATTTCTTACAAAAGGGTATGAATAGTCAATAAACAGTTCTCACTTCTGTCTTACCAGTTATTGGGGAAATGCAAAGTAAAAGCCACAGTGGAATACCACCTAACATCCATAAGAACGGCCAGAGACTGACAGTACCAAGAGTGGTGAGGAAGCGGAACAACAGGAACAAGACCATGTACTGTTGATCCTAAAAGTATAAACTAAAGCACTCCAGAAATTGTGCCAGGAACAGTGGTACATGTCTGTAATCCCAGTGGCTCAGGAGGCTGAGGCAGGACGGTCTTGAGATCAAAGCCAGCCTCAGCAATTAGTGAGGCCCTAAGCATCTTAACCAGACCCTGTCTCAAAATAAAAACTAAAAGAGCTGAAGATGTGGCTCAGTGGTTAAGCACCCCTGGGTTCAATCCCTGGTGTCAATAAAATAAAATAAACAGGCAACATCTGCTTAAACTGAACATACACAAACTTTATATATGTGCACCAAACAAAAGACTTGTATAAAGCAACAATAATGAATGACTCAGTGACATACCCGGACGAACCTCACAAGTAAAATGTTGACTGGAAGAAGTCAAACATAAAACGACAAATGCATGCTCTGCTTCCATTTATACCAAATTCAAAACCAAGGAAAAAACTATTTGTGGTACTAAAAATATTCAGGAAGGAAAGGAGGAAAAAGTACAGTGATGCAAAGTGCAAACCAGGGGGTGCTAGGTGTTAAAAATGTCTATTACCTGACCAGCGGATGGGTGGTCATGATTTGTGTTTCTCTGTATATTACACTACAATTTCAAAAGCCATTAAAAAAATAAGATTATATGACAAAGAATGTTATAAAAAATATAACAGGTAAGACACTTGGAAAGGAAAAGCGCACATGCTGCCTCTTTATTATGAAAAAGAGGCCCCAATCCTGGCACTCTGCCAGCCCGGTACTGCAAGACAACACGTCGGTCAGTGACACATTACATAAATGATGGAGCCGAAGACCTCCCACACCTGTTAAGACTGGCATGACGCAGGGATTTCTAGTGATGCTGGTATGAACCTGCTACACTGCCAGGTGTGGTGGCACTCGCCTGTACTCCCAGGAGGCTGGGGCAGGAGGATCACAAGTTCAAGGTCAGCCTCAGCAACTCAGTGAGACCCTTGTCTCCAAATTAAAAAGTAAAGAGGACTGAGGATGCAGCTCAGTGGTAAAATGCCCTTGGGCTCAATCCAGCATTCCTACTACCACTACCAAAAAGAAAAGCTTAACCCACATAATTATGTAGAGCATCCAATTCTCTGTGTCTGTTTTTTTTTTTTTTCTTTTTCTGTCTTTCCTTTTCTCTTTCCTTTCCATGGTACTGAGGATTGAACCCAGGCCTGGAGCACACCAGGCAAGCTATACTACCACTGACACATTTACAAGCATGCGCCACCATGCCCAGCCAGGATCTAATGCTTGATAAGGATAATAAAAAAAAAGACTGTGCTCCTGATGTATATATTTATTTAGAGTGTATTCCTACTTACGTATACAAGAAGGTTTACTATAAAACTGTGCCTGCTACATCTGCAGCAGACTCATCCATCTCATGTTTACTGAGTTCCTTCGTAGCACCAAGAGGCTACACTGAGTGGCTGACCTATACCAACTAGGTCAGGTAAGTGCACTAACTCTATGGCGCTCACTCAATGATGAAAAAAAATCACTAATGATACATTTCTTGTTAAGTGACATTGATTGTACCTGCAGTAAGAATATACACTAAGAATGTTAACAGCAGCAAGCCATGGAGCAGAGACCAGGAGAGCCAGGATAATGGAATACTGCTTTCAGTTTCTAT